TATGCTTTCAATGTAGCTTGCACGTCTTCCTTCAGAATCATTGGTTCTTGTTTAAATACTGCCTCTTTAAATGACTGAATGTCAACTGGTTATTTTGGGTGCAGTGACTTTGTGTTCAGTCCATCTTCTGCTGCTACTTCGTGCGTCTTTCAATATTTTGCCCAATAGAATCTTTCATTTTGCCATTGGAGACTTGAATTAAAAATTTTTTTTTTTTTTAGTTCTTTCAGTTTAAGATATGCTGCGTGTGTGCTTCCTTTTTGGTTTACTAACTTGGGGCTGTGCACCTTTCATTATAATACTCTGCTCGATCTTCCCCAGCTTCCCTTTGGAGTTTTCTGTTCAGCTCATCGACGTCATCATTTCTTGCGTTTTCCTTAGCTACTGTAGGATCAACAGCAAGTTTCGGAGTTTCTTCTGACATTTACTTTTATTTTTTTCTTTCTTTCCTGTCTCTTTAATGACCCTTTGCTTTCTTCATGCATTATGCTATTGATGTCACCCCACAGCTCATTGGGTCTTCTGTCGTTAGCGTTTAATGCATCGCATCTCTTCTTGAGATGTTTTCAAAATTCAGGTGGGATAGACTCAAGGCCATACTTTGGCTCTCATAGACACTTTCATTTCCTTCAGCTTCAATATGAGCATTTGGCAGTCTGTTCCACAGTAGGCACCTGGACTCTTTTCACCTGCTGATATTGAGCTTCTACATTGTCTTTTACCACAGAAGTAGTCAGTTGGATTTCTCTGTCGTCTATCTGAAGACGTACATTGTGTTATTGGGGAAAAAAAGGTATTTGCTATAGACAAGTTATTGGTCTTGAACAATTCTGTCACACAATCTCCAGCTTTGTTTCTCTTATCAATACCTTATTTTCCAACTACTGTTCCTTCCTCTTTGTTTTCAACTTATGCATTCCAATTGCCAATAATTATCAATGTATCTTGATTACGTTTGGTCAATTTCAATAGCATCTGAAGGTGATAGTAGAATTCTTCAATTTTTGTACACTGTGGGATATAAAAAGACTTCCCCGGCTTTGTCTCCCCCAAAGATATGCCAAACCTAAGAGGCTATTTGCCAGCATATGGTGGGAGGGCAGATGCTTAGAGATATTCTCCCTGCCAGAAGGCATTAAGCCATCTGGTCCTCTGTAGGTAGGGCTCACACCCTATTGATAGGATAGTGATTATTTCCCTGGAGAGCTTAGAACAGGTCAAACCTGCTCAGTGACATCCAAAGTTAGGCTGCCGACCTGAATCTAGGATCGCCCATCTTGTCACATGCATACCCCCAATCCCTCCCCTTCCTATTGCATGTATACCCTTAGATTTCCCCCTGTCATTCCTGTATTACCTATAGTACAACACCCTCCTGTGACATATATCTTTACCTGTAATCAGGGGGCTTGCACACCCCCCAAAAGATATATAAGCCTTGGTTAGAAATAGATTGCTCTCTCTCCTGCCATTCCCACCTTCCACATCGCCATGTGGACCACCAAGCGGGGCTGAGGTGAGCATGCTACCATGAATTGTCTCTGAGCCCTTTATTTTACTTTGTCTCTTATCTCTCTTCTTCACTCTGACTTTACTGTAATCTTTACATAGTATCGCTGTACAACTGCGCCGCCGGGCCCGTGATGATTCATTAGGACCTAACTACCCTGACACAACACTAGCTTTAGTGGTGCATAAACTTGAATAGTAGTTGCATTAATTGGAGTTCTTTTCACAGACAGTATTGTGTTTCAAGATAGAATTTAAAATGGCCTTTTTGGCGCTGCATGCAATGGCATTCCTCTTGATTGTATCATTCCCAACTAGTAAACCATATGAGTTTCTGATTCAAAATGGTCAATCCAGTCTATTTCGACTCACTAGTGCCTAGAATATGGATCTTTATGTGTTCTGTTTCATTTTTAATGATTTCCAATTTTCCTAGAGTCATACGTCATACATTCTAGGTTCCAATTACTAACTGATGTTTGTAGCTGTTTCTTCTCATTTTAAGTCGTGCCCCATCCGTATGTTAAGGGCCTGCAAGCTTCACACCATTCGAGTCCTTATGGTCGACTCTGCTTTGCAAAGGCCGCTCTTCCTCAGACATATTCTGAGAGCCTTCAAACCCGAGAGGCTCATCCTCTGGCACGATCTCGGACAATGCTCTGCTTTTAGTCACTGTGTTTGCAGCATGGGACAGTGTCTCAATGCTATCCATGGAGCTGGATGCTATTCAGTGGCTGCTTCCTCTGACGTGGACAACTTGTTCCTTCTCGTCGGTTCTTAGTTTGAAAGCTGTGCTGAAACCTGTCCACTTTCGGTGGTGCTGCTGGTCTTTGAAACACCCGTGACGTAATCTTCACAGCATCACAGCCACACCCAAGCTACACGGTATGACAAACGAACAGACAAATGGTGGAGAAGAGGAATGGACAGTTGGAAATCACTGGCTAGATGTGGGGTGACTTGGAGAACAAAATATTGCCAGGTCCTGTGCCGTTCTCACAACTGTTATATTTAAGCCCATTATAGCAGCCAATCCATCTCCCTGAGGGCCTTCCCCTTCAGTGACTCTTTACCAAGCAAAATGTACTCTTTCAGGGACTTGTCCCCTAATAACACTTCCAAAATGCCTGAGATGAGGTCTTACCATCCTCCCTTCTAAAGGGAATTCTGGTTGTTCTGTACTCCTCCAGCAGTCTAGGGTATTCTCAATACGCTTGCCAACATCAATTCGAAGGCATCCATCCCTCAGTCCTCCTCACGCAATGTTGAGCTTTCCTCGGATGAAGGGATGGAAAACGCCAAGCTTGTGGCTGGCATTCCTTTGTCCTCAAAGTTACTTTTTTTCTCTTCAACACTTCAGACAGGTTCGGTGCAGCAGATTTGTTCATGAAGTATGTCATTCGATTTTTTGGATGAATGCTTCCATGAGCATCGATGTTGGATCCACATAAAACGAAATCCTTGACAATATCGATCTTTACTGTGCTTTTCATGATTTTGTCTATTGATGAGGTGTGAGTATTTTTGTTTTCTTCACCTTGAGTTGCCATCCATACCGAAGGCTATAATCTTTGATCTTCATCAGTAAGTGCTTCAAGTCTTCCTCACTTTCAGCTAGCAAGGTTATATCATCTCTATATGAAGCATTATTACTGAGCCTTTTCCTAATCCTGATGCCAAATATTTCTTCATATAGCCCAGCCTCTCAGAGTATTAGCTCAGCATACAGACTGAATAAGTATGGTGATCTTAAACCAAGAAATATCCCTTTTTTCCATTCAAATGACGGTTTCTTGATCTGTGTGCAGGTTCTGCATGAGCACAATGAAGTGTTCTGCCATTTTCATTCTTGGTAATGTTGCCCATAGTTTGTTAGGATCCATGCAGTCAATGCCTATCTCTTTCTAAGTGTCAATAAAACACGAGTGAACATCTCTCTGGTATTCTCTGCTTTCAGCCAAGATCCGTCTGATATCATCTATCTCTTATTTGATGTTCTTTTCTAAATCTAGCTTGATTTTCTGGCAGCTCTCTATCAATGCACTTCTCCAACTGCGTCTAAATTATTTTAAACAAAAATTTACTTGTATGTGATATGAATGATGTCAGTCTATAGTTTCCACATTCTGTTGGGTCACTTTCCTAGGGAATGGGCACATATCTGGACTTCTTTCAGTTCCGAAGCTTTGCAAATCCCCTGGATAGGCTAGTGAGGGCTGGCCGTGCTTCCTCAGTGTGTCGGAACATTGCATTT